GGGAGGATTTTGGGAGAGGGTGTAAAGTAAAAGAGAACATCAAAAACGGCGTGAATATTGAGAGAAAGAATAGAAGAAAATACGAAGAAACGTGATAGTGAGAAAAAATATGAGAAGGACAAGTAAATTCAAAAAGTAATATAAAGGAAACTGAGACAAGGAGAGAACAATAAAGTCGTAGTAAGAGGTGATACGAAAAATCAAAGAGACACAATGAAAAATCAGAGAAATTGAAGGCAATATTGAGAAATGAAAAGAAAGTGATGGGAGGTGCAGGAAGCGTGAGTAAAAGGGGGACAGAGATGAGAGTGGAGACTGAAGAAGCGGGAAGTGGAGGAAATACGAAAAGTTGAAGTGGAAGAGATACGAATAACTGAAGTGGAAGAGAGATGGAAGTGAGGGAGGGAAGTAGATAAGATATGAATACTTGAAGTGTGAGGCAGATAGTAGCGAAGGAGAGAAGTGGATGAGATACGGATACTAGAAGTGGGAAGAGAGACAAGTGGAGGAAGGAAGTGGATGATATACGGATACTTGGTGTGGGAACAGATACAAGTGGAGGAAGGAAGTGGATGGGATAAAAAAAATGAACTGAGAAACAGCTGGAAGTAGCTAAGGGAAGTGGATAAGATACAAATACGCGAATAGGGAGAGAGACTTGAAGCTAAGGATTTGAGAAGAGGAAAACTGATGATACACGAATAGTTAAAGAATGATGTAGATGGCAATTAATAATTAACAGTAACAGCCGACTAGTTTACGCGGGAGTGAACACGAAGGAAAACAGAGAATAAAGTGGACCATAGAGGAGGTGGATGAGCCATTAAAGGAGAAGACGGAGAAAGTGGAAGGAACATCAAACCAATGTGGAAGTGGAGGTGGAGGAGAAGTGGAAGAGCAGGCAGCGACATCTAACAGAGAGGCCACAGACGCCGCGTGAGAGGAAAGCTCATCAACTAATGAGGGAGATTAATATCGTCATGTGGTTTTCATATGATGCGGATGGTTGTCTTATCATCCTTGGGAGTTTGCTAATAAGAATATTCACTAATTTTGCAAGGAATAATATAAATAATCTTAAAAAAAAAGTTTTAGTGTCGCTATGTGACAACGAATAGTTCAATGGCGATACGGAAATTAATACTAACAAAACTAACGATAAACTAATATCGGTACAAATGACAGTAATTATACCTATATTAATTTTAATAATGACTTGATCATCACTAACATCAATAATAATAATAAAATAATTATAATGATAATAATGATGACGATGATAAAAATAATAATAATAACAATAATAATAATAACAACAACAATAATAAGAATAAATACTAATAAAAACAACAAAAATCAAGATAAAAGGTAAAATAACATCAAAACAACATTTTCCACAAGAACAACAAAAACACTACAACTACTACCGACACTACTACTAATATCATTATCACAACTTCTAATGACGCACCAACATTAGCATCACGACAACCCTTCCTCGTTTCCCCATTGCTAAAACTATATATAAAGAATAACAAGACCTTACTATTGACGCTGTTAATAATAAGGGACACCACCTAGAATAAATTAGAATATAGTAATCTATTCTTAACATGAGCTATTTTGTCAACGTCATCCGGGGAGCGATAAAAAAGGGACCTCTGGTACAATGGCTTTTAAAAATGGCTGTTTAAGAATCGTCCGACCGTTGCGAACCTTTTGATAACAGGTCGACCATCAAGATACCTTCCCTCTTTCTCATTTCCTTTCTTGATTTTGTTGTTGTTGTTTTTTTGTTGTTATTTTTTTGTTGCTTCTGTTGTTGTTTCTTCTTGTCGCTTGTCGCTGGGTTCTCTCCCCTCTTGTTTTCCTGAACCTTTGTTGTTTTTCTTTCCACTTTCTACTTCCCTTCCACTTGTAAACTTATCCATCTATCCAATTACATTCCTCTCTTTCTTTCTTTCTCTTAATTTCTCTCTTTTTGGGTGTGTTCTGTCTTCTCTTGTCTTCAGAATCTTTATTTATTATTATTATTTATTCGCTCTCTCCCTTTCGCCCACCTTCCCACTATCTCCATATCAACAACTATTAACTCATTCACTCACTCACTTACTCTCTCTCTTTCTCTCTCTCTCTCTCTCTCTCTCTCTCTCTCTCTCTCTCTCTCTTACCCCCTGTTCTCTTTTCTTCCTTCCCTCTCTCCCTCCCCCCTCATTCCCTCATTCTTTCCCTCTCTCCTTCCTTCCATCCTTATCTCCCCTTGCTCTCTCTCTCCTTTCCTTCTTCCCTCCCCCCTCCCTCACTCCTTCCTTTCCTACCCACCCTCTCCCTCCCTATCACGTACTTCCGGCAATGCACTTGTTTCTCGCGATCTTTTTTTGTCTTTTTTCCAATCCTCCAACTCCATTAAATTTTCTACAGCGGCTTCATGGCTTCATTTCTTTACGGGTTGCGCTCTATATAGCTTCATTTACACAGTTGTTTCGATGCTGACTTTGATAACATCTCATATGTGGAGAGTTTCCTTCCTGAATATTTATTTTCGTATCTTGCCCGTATTTTGTTGTTGTTGTTGTTGTTCATTTCCTACGTAAAAAGCCAGGAAATGTTCCAAAAAGTGTTTAAAGTATTTCAATAACAAGAATTTTTTTTTTTTTTTTTGCGCATTGGCTCGAAACTGTATTGAAACTTTTTTTCCCCCATTTATAATTTTCCTCCTCGCGTCGAATTCCTTGCATTTTTCCAAATCATGCAATCTACCACGAAAATTTCACGAAAAAAAAGACGACGAGAAAGAAGAATAGAAAGCTAAATGTTCCCACAGATTTTCTGAAATGTAAAAATAGAAAAAAAAAGAAAATAGGTAAACTGGAAAATATCACCGTGTATTGTGACCGGCGAAATAAAACAAAATTGGACGTCCTGGGAGAACTCCTCATTTCCTTGTTTTACGCTAACAAGAGCTCGAACACCCCCCCCCCCCTCCCTCCCTCTCCCTCCTATCCTTTCCTTCCTTCTCCCTCCTATGTCTCTGTCCCCTCCCCCCTCCACCTTCCTCTCTTTCTTACTCCTTTTTCTTATCCCTCCTTCTCCCCTCTCCTTCTTACATCTCCTCCTCCTGCCTCCTCCTCTCCCTCCTCTTTCCCCTCCTCCTCCTTCCCTATCTCTCCTTCCCCCTCCTTTCTCTCCTCTCCTTTTGCCATCTTCCTTCCCCTTCCCCGTTCGCCCCGCCCCCTCTTCCACACCTGCAGGAATTACTATTTACCTATTCAGTATTCACGACTTTTTTTCCCTCTTTATTCTTTGGCTTAATTAAACGCCTTTTTTATGTGCTCTCTTTTTTATCTTTCACGCTCTCATGCATTTAATCATTTTTTCCCCTTGCTGTTGCTTTCTTTTCTCATTTTTATTGCTACTGCAAGATACTCGGATTAAAAAAATAAATGAACAGGCCTCCTTATTCACAAATTTTAACGTAATACTTCTTTTGTCTTATGCTTAAATAACAAAATTAGAACTGCTATTATTTACTTTCAAATATGTAAAGTCAACGTGAGTGGCTTTATCTTTATATAACTTAACTTTAATGCCAACATTACACTGTCATAGTTACATTACTGCGACTGGTAATGATATGGTTGACGCTACTACAACCTATTCCTACTACCACTTATACAACTATAAGCTGATAACAGTAATGATGATAATGATGGTAA